GAAGCCCCCATACACGCAGGTGATTAAAGGAGAACCACTCACCGTAGCTTGGTGGATTTTTCGAAACCAACCAGCAATCGACGATGGTAATAATCGACCAGTCTCAGCTGGGGTAGGTCTTCATTCAGAGTCTAGACAATTGATACTATTGTCGAGCAAAATTCGGGCCTCCATAACTTTTTAAGGAGAATCATTTTGCAGTTTTAATTTCCATTTTCGCAAACAGCATTCGAAACTCTATCGATTTATCTGGGTCTGAATTCAAAGTTCCAAGATAAGTAGACTACCCCTCCCTGGTCAGGCACATCACCTGTATTTAAACGTTTGTTGTGTTTTTAGTTATGGCGTTAGAAAAGTTTTTTCGTAAGCCGTACAGTTCCCTGGTGAAGTCAACCTCACTGCTCACCGAATAAGGAAGGTGTCAGTGGGTTGAAAAGGAGTGTGAATAAGGAACACCCAATACGGTGGGATACGGTAAGGAGGTACCGGATCACCAGGTATAGCTGTCTGCAGGGAACAACGAGCGCCAGTGCAAAGAAATATGGGCGAAAAAGACATTTATGAAGTACTGATGGAGGAGCAACAGAACGCACCGCCACAGGTGAGCAATCCCGAAGATACTTCCATGGAAAAGGCAAACGAAAAACTTGTGGGTGTCCGAAAGGGTTAATAAAGGGAATTGCAGACACCCTCACACAAAGAGTTATAGAGTCTGAAGAAGAGTGGGAAGAGTTTATGAAAACTTACCTTTTAAAGGCGGGTCACCCCACAAGAGCGGGGGGTCATGCTGACGTGCCCCCGAGTGGGGGCAATCCCACTCGAGTACGGTAACTGATCAGGGTCTGTGGCCTACCCGCTTGAGGCATGGACCGCCCGCTTTAAAAGAGCGGGGAGTAGCCTCCTCAGAGCCCCTCTGCCTGGCCAACACAAGCGCCGCCACGAGCCGCAACTCCAGCACCCACCACCAGTCACAGCTCCAGCAAAGCCCCCAGCTGCAGTTCAGCAGCCTCTACAAGCGACCGCTAACAGCCACAGCTTCGGCATCAACCACTCACCACAGCTCAAGCACATCAACTGGTACTTATCTGTTTGTTGTGTTTGTATTTGTTATCGCCGTAGACAAAGTTTTTTTTAGTAAGCCTTGTCCTGTGGCAGTAAAGGGGTTAACATGGTCTGTAGGCGAGTGACCACCCTAGCCGCTGATCGTACAGAGCAACTACGCATGTGGTGGTATTCGTGGACATATTACTAAACGACAAGCGACAAATGGTTTTGGAGAAGGATAGCTGCGTGATTTTCGGAGAACTGCCCAAAAATCTATACAAGCGATATTTATGTTGATGAGTGCCACAATTTGAAGTGCCTGCTCATAATGACCGTTCTGGTCAGTATGAGCAGGCATTATGAGCTCCAAATTCTATGCAAAGAGTTGCTGATCAGAGCTAGGTTCTTAATGGTTTACCTTCTTTCGAACAACAGTTACGATAGCTAGCATACCTATAACATCACGTAGCTCCTGAACCTTCAGCGTTTATGATGAACGCCTGACATTCAAATGGAAGTTACGAACATTCTACTCACTCTTACGACTGACTGATCTCTGAAGGAGAATTATCAAACAAGAAAAAGAAAATATATAGGATAATGTTTAGCCAAG